ATTATTTTAGATGTTTTATCACTTAACATAATAATGAATCGTTGTACTCTTGTTAAACAAAGACGGTTATGCTAATACTATTGTAATACGATTTTATACTCTTTATACTAAGCAAACATCATTGTTAATTAGAATAATAGTCCATGTCACTACATTTACCATGCCATTATAATAGTCATACGAATAAACAAAAAAATAAATAAACCTAAAACCGTTCCAATTGGTATGCTAACATTATATTTGAATGAATATAAATAAATTTAGGCATGAATTAGAATACGTATAATGCATTGACTGCGAAACATAAGTCAATTCATTTCAGATATGGTGTATACGAGGTGTATACTGATGCCGAATAATATTATCAATAGATGGTAATCATAGTCGCAAAGTTCATACAGTTCATTAGCACAAAAAATACTATACCTACACATGTTCGTCTATTTCATTATTATTTAAATTCTAATGCCTACATCATGTAGGCTACATGCTAACGCGCATCGGACAAAACTGAACGAGGAACGAGGAGAGATATACATTTTGAAATAATTAGAACATTACAGTAAAGGTTAATAAACGTTCTGTATTCGGTATAATATTATGTACATTAATACCGCTAATAAACACTCGATGAAAATTAAATTGTAGAACAGTACAAAAATACTGTAAGAAAAAAGAAAAGTATTGGTATTCACGAAGACAATAAACCAAACATTTAATTACATTACATTAAATACTGCACGTATGTAACGATAATATTCTAGAGAAGTGGTAGAGGTGGTGTATCATCTTTTGGGACATAATTTTCGTATGCTATTATATAAAAATATGATGTTTCAGTTTTTTCGATAATTCTACTTTTAAGGTATGAGCTACCACCTATAATAAGTTTAAAAATATTATTAAAATAAATGTATGAACACAACGAATATTATTTTAAATAATTTTATTAATGTATACAATATAATTAATTGTACAAAAATAATATTTCTTTAAATGTTTAATAATTTTTTTTTTTAGAAAACATGTAATTTATATATTATATAATATTTAATTTTAGAATATTTACAAACATTAAGTACTTTTTTTTGTATTTAATTCCCAAAAGTTTTATCGTAATTATTCTTCCGGTTAAATGTAAATATTTCTAATATATTATGCAAGGACGTTGTTTGTTAATGTTATTTGTCATTGTATATTTTTCGAACCGACTTTATTAGATTATTGAATTAAATTATTTTCTTAACGATCAAATTTTATATGTGCGTACAAATTCCAATATTTATATTGGTAGATAATACATTTTGAAAATCTTCAATGATTAGCAAATTTACTAATCTATTATTTAATTATAATAATCGAACGCAAGTACTGGTCTTGCAAAAACTCGTTTTATTTTATAAATTCATTTTCAATAGTTATCGCACATAAGTGATTAAACTCGGTGAATTCTTAGTAATTTCCAATAAACTTTAATGATAAATACTGTGATAGAATATTTTTTGAATGTGATGCAAACATAAATCGAATACTACTAAGTAATTTATAATAAATTGAACATATATGTATTTAGTTTATTCAAATCTGCATTATCTATTGACTATTTGTAACGTTATTTGATGTAATATATAAATGTCAAACAGTTTAAAACTAATATTCGAATCACTTATTATAATTAGATACAAAATGTAAATGTTTGAACTAAAAAAAAAACTTATGATTTATATTACTTAATTTTATAGTTTTAATTTCAAATACTAATTACGTCTATAAACGAATAACTCGTACCATAATATACATCCATAATGTTACTAATGAGGCATATTCATTTACATATATTTAAATCGAGTTAATTTAATCATTCCTTGCCTGAAGTCAAAACTATATTTTTTATTTGTTTCCAAATGTTCTGATTTATTTATTTTTGTTATTATTATCTACTAATTATAATTATTATTATTTTTATTTTCTTAAAAAATTCTACAAACAATACAGAATTTAATTACAATATATTTAATAAGCGATGGATATAAAATTAACGTTGAATAATCAGAGCCGTCTTAAAGATTTTTAGGGCTTGAGTCAAAATAATTCAGAGACCTTTCAATCTTCACATTAATGTACGAATATGATAAAAAATAAAAAATGCAAAATGTTGATAAATATATTTTTTTATACCTCAACTAATAAATGTCATTTAAGTGCAATGATACAATTAATAACATTTTTAATAACTTCTCAACAATGTATTACCAGTTACCACATTTAATTAAAATTTAATTTATTCCTAGATAATTGATTAACAGCCATAGAAAACAAGAACTTGGATGTTGACACGTTGATACTCGCGATAACGAATTTCTACGTAAATCTGGATAAAATTATGTCATTTTTACACTCTGACAATAACCATAATAAATTACAGTTATAACTATTTAGAAATTAAAATAACTGAAAATGCAACATATATAATAGCCCTTAAATATAAATTTAAATTCATTTTATTTAATTAAAATTATTAATATTTAATAAATAAAAATAGTTTAGAAATAATATATTAATATCAATAATCTTTAATAGGAATGCCAAATATTTCTGATCAATCTGTACTTTAAGGGGACCCCTTTAACATTTTTCTGAGGCTGGGGTAAAATGGTCCCCTTGGCGACGGTATTTTAAGTAATTGAAATTGGGAAATTATCTAGCGTTAACACTCCTCACGTTTTTTGTTATTGCAAGATACCAAAGTAAAAATTCCCTACATAATTTTCTTTTGAGTTTTTCGTGCGTTAACAGCAACTATGTTCGTTGACAGTTTAGTGATCAGAGGATTAATGCGTGATTGGAGTTTATTATGAAATCTGGTGTAAAAAAATTTGGAAATTTGATTAAAGGTTTAAGCTTAGAGATCCATGTGAAGGTTATTGTTTTTTATGTACCAGAACACAGAGGAAATTAATTTTGCTTAAAAGTTATGACTGATATTGAATTTTAAAATTATTATAATCTCAAAATGTATATACCTATAAATAATTAATATTTTACTGGGTCTGAAATATATTTATATTTATATTTATAAATTTAAATATAAATATATTTATATTATATTATAAATATATATATTATTATTATTATATATATATATATGTTATTATTATTATATTATATATTTATATTTATGATTCATGAATATAAATACAGTCAATATTGGTATTATTTTAAAGTCTGTTATTTTCTCCATTTTAATGCGCTTACCTCTGACGTTCATAATAATAAAGTTTGTTGAATTGATTATACGATGTATAAATTAAACTTAAACCAACAATTTAAATACTTATTGAACTTTTCGCACAAAAGTTTACTTATATTATGGTGTATGGATAAGATTAAATTGATTGCTTCTAAAATATGTCACTCACCCCCAATGCGTCATTGTGCGGATTATTATCGAAAACAAGTATAGTATCTATATATAGTAACTTCTTTATTTAAACGAGATAATTGGTTGAGTTTCCTGTTGTCCATTGATGCGTTATAACAACAATATTTACGTGGAAACATGTTTGCGAACGTAGATATAGTCCTAACTACTGCTACATAGTACATAAAAGTATAAATACTTAGTAGGTATGAACTAAACTCGGATGACGGATTATAATTATAAAACGAATAAACCATTCCGATTATCAAGAATTGTTTTTAACATATAGATCACCATATCTATTTGACCTTGGGTGACTTATCTGTAAATAAAAATTTGTTCTCGCGGTCCACGAGACATTAAAATAAATTATTACTCATTTTATAGCTTTTAAGATTTGATTATCTCTTATCCATGTCTGTACACTATTTTTTATTTGAAAAACCTTAATCTGTACACAATGATGTAAGACTAAGTACAAATATATTACAATTTAATTATAAGTCACTTATTAAATTTAAAAAAAAAATTAAAGTATAAAATTACAGTTTTTAAACTATACATACGATTCATCAGTTTTGATTTTCAACTAGATTTCATATAAGAATGCCGGCCTCGCCGAAATAAACCTTACAGATGCTTATATACATAAACATATTTTTGTGACAAGTTACCGACTTTCATTTTTTATTTATGAACTAGTACGATTGCCTATATTATTCCGTACATATATATTAAAACACTTTTAAATAACAAAATTAACAGGTTTTATAAATGTAAAAACGGGTTTTGAATAATCACGAACTATAATATCCATATTGACCGGTTTTTTCGACTGATTCGAACCATTAGAAGAATAAACCGTAATGAATAAATTTTATCGGTATGTAGCCCTGGTCGAACTGTTAGTAATTTACATCGATTTAATGAGTAGGAGGCATATGTTGGTATTCGGCAACAATGTTCGAAAGACACGTGTTTATCGCACGAATTATGTAATTGTAAATCACAATATCGTTCTCCTGAAACCGTCGTTTGTCCCGGGCTAACCGTGTAGTATTTCTGAAGGGATCTAAACGAACGGCAAACTCGTTGAACACATGAACGCCGTGTGTACGGTTTTTATCGCGTTGCCGCGGATAATGGTCGGCCGATTTTTCGTGGGCTATGTAAACGTTCGAAAAGATTTGTGTACGCGAACGGGGGGGGGGGGGAATAAAAATATTGTTCGTGTCGTCGGACACGTGCGCGATGTATAACATCGTCACATCCCACCCCGCCACCACCCAACCACCCACCGTGATCAGTTTTCGGCGACGTGTGTAGTGGAATCCCTGCGAAGGTGAAATATCCAATCGTGACTATGGTAACGGAACGAGACCACCTGTCCGGGGACGACGGACGACGGTGACATGTCGGGGGAAGGGGTGGGGGGTGAAGGAGCGAGAAAGAGAGCGCGTACGCAATACATCAATATAACACGTCGTGCCTTTGTAACAGTGTGTTGCGGTACTTCGATCCGTGTTACGAGACACTCGCCCGGACACTAGCCGCCGGCCAACGCGACAACGTGTACGACATGCCGCGAGTCCACGCGCCGTGCGACAAGAACCGGCCGACGGCGGGGTTCGATCAGTTCGAGCTGCGCGGCGGACAGATGATCGTCGGTTGCAAGTGTACCCGGAACGACGGGATGCAGCACGAGTGCTTGCGAACCAAGTGCATGGGCCGACCGCCGTGCCTGACGTTTCCCGTGGCCACCTGCGCGCCCAGTCAACCGTGCCCGTTAGCGGACAACGGCGGCGGCGGCGGCGGCGGCGGCGGCTCGTGGACGGGGGCAGAACGGCCACCGGTGAACAGACGACCTGGGGCGGCGGCTGACGAGGATCGCGACCGTTCGCGAGCCGCCACTGCTGCCGCGCGTCGCCTACGTCGTAGGGCCGTCGACCAATACGACGACCGGCCGGCGTTCAGAGCGCTGTTCGAACCGTGTCGGGTGCACGCCAGAAAACCCAAGGCCGATTGCCGCCCGCCAGCCACCGACGGCGCCACTAAACGTCAATAACGATGTGTACATTGCGCGCCGTACAAATATAATACGCGATAAAAGGAAAACGGAACAATGACATCGTTGTGTATCCCGCTGCCGTAGCCGTCCGTTGTAACGATAACAATAATAATCATATTATTATTTATATAACATTTGTCTTATCCATTTTTCTCCCACCCTCCCGACAAACAGAAACAATATTGAAATGTTAACAATGACGTAACGTTCGGCGTTTCGTTTCGGCTTCACGCGGGCCGATGTTGAAAAGAAAATCGACCGAATTCTTATCGCGCGCGTGCGCTTATCGCATCGCTGCCGACGCCGGTGGCCGCGTTACGTTTGTGTCCGTCCGCGTGTGCGGCCGTGATTATCAGAGCCGTAACTAGGGTGAGCCGAGTGAGCCACTTGCCTTGGTCGCCTGAAGCTGGGGGGCGCAAAAATATGAAATGATTAACTTAAGAAACGGTATTAGTTATTGTACAGTACTGTATAGTTGACAATACAATATTAAAATATTTTACATTAATACACACCGTCCCGTAAACGTAATACAGTAAAACCTCTTTATAACGGACACTCTGTTAGACGGAATCTTCCTTATAACGGAAAATATCAATAGTCCCGGTTCAAATAATATATTAAATTGACTTCTTTAAGACGGAACCTCTACAAAACGGAAACGAAAAATGTTCGTAATCCAATTAGTAAAAATACTCTCTGTAAAACGGAAAATAGAATTATTTAAAGATAAATTACACTTTCATAAGTATAAATTATACGTATATAATATATATGTTTGATAACAAGATAATCTAAACTTCATCATTATCTGAAATATCATTCGACGGTATCTTTTCACGATTGTCATACTGATTTTTTTATTATTAAAGATTAGATATGTACATATGTACATACCTTTAACGTATTTTAACGTATTTTTGTTAATATGAACTGCCCAGTCGTCTTTTTTCTGTCGAATTGTTCATATCATTTAGTAAACGTGCAGTGCTCACCGTCTGTTTTATCGTTGTGATTTCGTTTGTTTTCGTACTGTTTTTTACTCGCTTATATGCCACGTACAGCTCTGACTTAGTCCGATAAAGTTAAACTAATCGAGTTGAAGGAGATACAAAAACTAAGTACGAAAGAACTTATTACTAAATTTAAATGTGGAAAAACTCAAGTTTACGACACGACAAAAAATAAAGAAAAGATTATGGATGAATGGGTAAATAGCAAAAACTCGGGAAAGAGTAAAAGAGTGAAAACTCCCTCATTTGAACAAATTGACCAATAGAGTTGTATGAGTGGTTTATTAGCGTTCGGTCAAAAAATTTGCCAATTTCCGGTCCAATTATACAAACAGAAGCTATGAAATTGGCTAAAAAAATGAATGTCAAAGATTTCAAGGCTTCGAACGGTTGGCTAGAAAAATTTAAAAAAAGGCATGACATTGTTTGGAAACAAGTTAGTGGTGAGGCTAATGACGTTAATCAAGAAACTGCGGTGGAGTGGAAGCAAAAAATATCAAGACTCATTGCTGGATACGAAGTAAAAGACGTGTGCAATAATGATGAAACGAGTCTTTTTTTCAGAGGTATTCCTACTAAGTCACTAGTATTGAAAAGTGAATCTTGTTCTGGAGGGAAAGAAGCAAAGGATCGCTTAACAGTGGTCATGTATAGTAGTATAGCTGGAGAAATTAGGAAGCCATTGGTAATTGGCAAGTCTAAAAAACCACGGTGTTTTAAAAATATGGATATTTCTCCATTACCTGTCATATGGAAATTTAATAAAAAAAGCCTGGATGACAACAGAGATAATAGAGCAGTGGTTGCGTTATTTTAACGCAGATATGCGATCTCAGAATAGAAACATCCTTATATTCTTAGATAATGCTGCATGACACCCAAAGATCGAGCTATCTAATACGAAAATACTTATGCTGCCCCTAAATACCACATCGATCACCCAACCAATGGATCAAGGAGTGATTTACACGTTTAAGTCTTACTACCGTAAGTTTTTGCTACAATCGTTATTATGTAAGATGGATAATTGTTCTTCAGCTTATCAGTTTGCTATATCAATAAGTGTTTAGGATGCAGTCAACTGGATAGCGTTGGCTTGCGATAATGTAAAAGTTGAATGTGTGCAAAATTGTTTTCGTAAAGCCGGGTTTCTTTCAAATGAAGGAACCAATACCAATGGTATAGATTTACCAGAAAATGCTTTGAAAGATATTAATGAGGAATGCGTTATAGCCAATGTTGATGTAGAAGATTTTATTACATTTGACAGTAAATTAGAGACGCACCAAACTTACGATTCGGCGATTTTTTTAGAAGAAGAAGAAAAATTAGTAGAAAACGATGATAATGATGATAGTAAGACCAACGATGAGCCAAAAATAAAATATTTTAAAACTGCAATCTCATACTTAGAAGAATTACAAAAGTTTTCAGCCACCATTTCAAATTCAAATCTATTAGAACTTACAACAAAAGCCCGAGAATGTGCTGAACGTGCTGCTCTTAAACACAAAAAGCAATCAAATATTAAAAACTATTTTTCTTAATTATAAAAAAGGTACAAATATTACTTCTATTTTTTTTAGTAATATACACAAAACAAATTTAAATATTAAGTCATATATATATATAATAATCTTATTGTATAAATTCACGTTTTATGAGGTATTAACCTAAAATATAATTTTTTTAACATATACATACACATACATATATTCTTGAAACATTTTTTTTTTACATCTCTAAGACGGAAAACTCTTTATAACAAAAAATTTGTTGGTCTCAAGCGATTCCGTTATAAAGAGGTTTTACTGAATTATATTTTCAGTATAAAATATATTTCTTCGTTGATTACTCGTTTATAACTTTACAATTATTGAATAATTTTTAGTATCTATTATTATAAATTATTATTATTATTATTATTATTATAGTTTTATATTTTGTTATTAATAGTATATATTATGTAATCTCTATGACTGTTTTTCGTTTCATCGGCGATTGGTTGGTATCTGCTTACGGCGCTTTCCATTACCGCACAAACATGACCCAATACCGCACAAAATGCATAACCCAATACCGCACACAAAAATAGTACGATACTTAATACTCTGCTTAATATCTAAATTATATTTGCTGACGCAAAAGCAAGGAAAATTAAATTATAAATAATAATTGTTTTAAATGATTCTATTATATTTTTATTATTATCAACTATTATTTTGAAACATCTAATAATTTGTAAATATGAAATTTATTTGTTTACCGTAATATAAGATGATAAATAATAATTATATACTTGTGGCTAACAAATGTTATTTCTTGTTTTGCTAATCACAATTTTCCAGATATTTCCTAATCGTATTATACATATTAAAAGCTTTGAGTGTGACAACCCTACAACCTAGGAGGCGCGTTGCTTCAATTCTGTCTCAGGATAAAAAATGTCTCTGTACGGCTCTGTTGATTACGTACAATGACAAGATTCCGGACGGGATGCTTATCGGAAAGGACTGTTTAAAAATCACCGTAGAAAAAAAATCGAATACGATTCGACGTTACATCGTCGTCAGTCGTTAACGTTTATCGAAATCACTCGCATTACTCGTTTTGAAAATACGATCAAACGTGCAACTCTTATAATTTACCCATCCGAAGAGGAAAACTCGATATTTGTAATATTAAATAACTCTATAGCTGCCATTGGTTTTACTTTTGCACATGACGTCTTACATTTTTTCTCTCTTTATAGTTGCTTAGATCAGTTTTTATTCAAACGGCAAGCATTCCTTAATAATACAATGGAATTCATATAAAATAATAAACTGCGCACGAGAAATAAATATTATAACGTACATTGTACACCGAAACGGGTTTGGGGTTTTTTTTTCAACTATATTGCCTTATTATTTAGTCTAAATTACTCAAAGAAATTCATAAGGTTTCGAGCGTTTTTGACGCCTTGCAAGTTACCGAGAATTTATTATTTATATTTCTTTCATAAAATATATTTTTATAATTGTATTGTTTAACGTGTTTGGTATTAATAAATATCAATTTATGCGATAATGGTTTGGTCCGCATTTATACGTGTGCGAGTGTATATTCAGCAAAATCTAAGAAAGTTTATTTTTAAAAAAAAAACACAGCATTGTATAAACTATAATTAAAGTAAACATATATATTGATGTTTTTATAAATTGTATTAGACACTATATATAGCATTATATTTATGTATATAAATATGGTTACTTTGATTATTGTTTACACACTGCTATGTGTTTTTAAAATGGACTTTCTTGGATTTTACTACATATATACTCACGCACGTATATCTAGAGACCAAATTATTATCAGTTTAATAGTACATTTATTAATGTCAAACATCGTTAAAATTATTTTTATACGGATTTTTCTCGAAGAAATACAAATAGTACGATACTTATTATTATAACTGAAAGCGTATTAGAAACATATTTTGGATCAGGCAATGTAAATTAAAACTGTCTGCAATAACGTTTTAAAGACCTTAAGGAAATTTATTGATTCCCTGATACGTCAACCACTCCTATATATAATAATATATGTTCTAAATAGGCAGTGTTGGACTTAGAGGGTAGCAAAGAAGTCAGTTCCCCTCCCCGTGGAAATTTTTTGGGGAAAGCAATATCTTAAATCGAAAAAACAAAAATTTTGAAGTTTTTTAATGTATTATAATTTTTAGATAAATTTAAATAATAATTATATATATATTTATTATAAAATAATTATAATAAATCATTGAAAAATGTGTATTACAAATGATAATAATATTATATTATATCATCTACCACAGAATTATCAGATGAATTAGCGTTCAGCATAAATAATTAGTACCTAACATATTACGCTCGGATCGATACATTTATAATTTTGTTCGTATTGTATTATTTTCTTGTGTACGTTTTATACTATATCTGAACAGCAATAAAAACACTGACACATTATTGTGTTTTTTATATGCCCGTATGGCTATATTATAATGTATAACCATCACATTATTAAATTTGATATTAATAGTTTAAAATTAATTATTTGTAAACTATCAAGCATTTATTTTTATTGCTCTACCGTCTATTCGACCATCTTGTTTCGTAGGATGTAGTCGTAATCTCGTCAACTGTTTAGTCATATTGACTGAAAAACAAACTAGCTTAATATTTCCTAACAGGATTTTTTTTCAATCAATATAAGTAGAAAGCGCATACAGTGGTGTAATTTGGAATTGGTTCTGGGGTGGGATTTGTATATAAGTTTATACTATCATTCTAGTAGGGCTATGCCCTCCCATTCCCTCCTTAACCATTAAGTCTCATATATCTCAATATGATATTAATTTATTAATATAAATTAAATGAGGCAAATGGTATAATGATGATTTTCAAAGATAATTAAATAAACAATTAAATTTAATTAAATATATTTTTCATGAGTCATAATATTAATTCAATTTTTTTTTCTTTTTTTTGCCAAAATATTCAGTAGATACGTCATCGGTTTTCAACTGAATGTCCTGATACACTGATAACATAGTAAGTCCATTCAAGTGTATTTACCTATTAAGTATAGTGACGGTGCTAGAGTTTGCGAGACCCTATGCAAAATAAATGTCGGGATCTTATAATTTATAATAATAAAATATTTTAAGTTCAGTTAAATCAGAATCACGGGGCCTTAATTATAATTTAAGACGCGGGGTCCTGGACAACTGCCCCTATTGCCCACCCCCTCGCGCCGTCCCTGATTAAGTATTTAAGTTAGTATAAGTTCAGAATTATTATGTAATTTACAAAAACAATGATTATTACCTGACCCATTGTGTTACTGAGATAAGTTTTTACTTTTTTTAAAGTAAAAATGTTGAAATATGAATAAATAAAAAATATCAGTTCATTTTTTTAATTAGCCAAGTATTATGAAAAAATTTAAATTAATATATAGTATATATCTAACAAATATCATAGTATAGGTTACTTGTAAGATATTTATTTTCATCAGCCAAAGCATGTTTATGAACAAATAAACCTATATCATTTTGATGGTACTGTGCATTGCTACTTAAGCATTCGATCTTAAAATGTAAGAAGAATAAAGCATTTGTTTTAGTATATTAAGCTATAATGTGGTATTTTGTAGCACATGTCGAACATATTATAATATGTGCTGATAAATAATAGCATATATTTTTATATTTGTATACAACCAAATAACCAAATAGAAGCAATGTTGAAATAAAAATATACAAATAAACTTAAGAATTAAAAATGTTAATTTTTAATCATTAACTTTTCCTAACTTTGTACTTACAGGTTGTTCCACTGAAATCATTGATGTAGATTGATCTAATTCTTTATGTTTTACCTAAGAAAATATCCTTGTGTTATTAATTTTTAAATTTATGGGCATGTTTATGTCATAATAATTACATAGAAATAAGAAATACATAAATGTATGGACATTTAGATTATTTCAAAAAATAGTTCAACTTTATACCACAAGTTCTTTGCTATGTTGGTCTTGATCTGCATCACATTTTGACAAGCTGTTTTCTTGATCAATTTCTTTACCTTTTTTTTGAAAAAAAGAAATAAAGGCATTGGACTATATTTTTATTTTTAATTTAATAATTTAATATGTAATTTAGTAATATATTAAAATTACACTATCACACAATAGAGATACATCCACAGTTAAAGAAAATCGGATATTTTTTCATAATAGTTATTCCACAAAATACTGTTATTTATTTCAAGAAATAACGTATTTTTATTTTAAAGT